TTCTTTCATTGAGACAGTGATATGCTCTTGATCTGAAGACAATGCTCTAGAAATCAGTTGGGCAGCTACCCCACTTGTGTTTTTCTCTGAAGTTCTTACTCAACAAAGAGTTCAGTTCAGGGCCTGTGAGAGCAGGCTCTTGTAGGTAAATCAATTAAGGTTCTCTGTGTTATAGGCAAGTTGTTTGACTGGATGTGCAGGCACAGGTGTGGAGCCAATTGTGGGTTGGGGCAGACACGGTGGGTGGGGCAATCACAAGGGCAGGTCAAACACTTGTGGGACCTCACTCAGACCTCAGCTGTCCGGGTGTGCTCACAAGTGGGGTTCCTACTCAAATACCAGCTGTCCGTCTCCCACCCAGCAGCTTTCGCTCAGAGGTCCCTGCCCAGAAGCCCTTACCCAGGTGCACTGTGCAGAGGTCTCTGCCCTAGCAGGGCCCTTGGTCCAGTGAGGCCCGGGAAGACTCAGTCAAATTCCCACCAACCAAGTCACCTCTACCAGTCTGCAGTCTCTGGGAAAGTTCAGTCAAATTCCCACCTGCCCGCTCGCTGTTGGGTGCTCTCCCAGGCAATTGATGGTGCCTGATAAAACTCAGATAAATTCCCATGGGCTGCCCTTTCCTGGGCAGTCAGCGAGGCCCAAGCAAACTCAACCTAATTCCCACCAGTGGGCTCACTCTTGAGTGCTCTCCTAGGCAATTGGTGGTGCCAAAGAAAACCCAATCAAATTCCTACCACCCTGTCTGATTGTGGGCAGTTTCTGAGGGCACAAGAAAACACAGTCAAATTTCAATGGACCCACTCACTCTTAGTGGGGCTTAAGAGAACTCATTCAATTTCCTGCTAACCTTCTCCTGGCTGATGGGTCCCACAGCACCTCTGCTGGCAGCTTCTGGCTTTGGCTGGGGTCGTGTTGTGGTTCGCAGCATGGCTCTATGTTCCTATAGCCCTAAAATTAATTGTTCCTACAGAAGTTCTGATTCAAATTCCTACTGTCCACTGTCGCACGGTGTTGGTTGGTGTCTGTGCAGCGTGAAGGTCTCTCTAGTGGCCCGTCTCTATGCATCTTGCTACTCCTTTCCAGCTCTTCACACTGCTCTCTTTACCGCTGCCATCTTGGAATCCTCATTTTTGTTTTTCAGAAGTGCTTTGCTTATTTTGAGTTCTTTCTTTCTAAATATACTTGCGTATTAGAGCTTGCTCGGCTCCACAGTCAACACTCTTGGCACCAGCAGTCAGGAAATCAGAAGATGAATTGCATCAGGTAAATTTTTTGTCAGGGACCTTTCCAGTACTAAGAAGCAATAATGTCATTCTAGAGGCTAAGATGCAACTGATCCAGGCCATAGCCTTTGCAGTTGCTTGCTATGCATCAGAGAACTGGACAGTGACTAAGCATGACAGAAGAATCAATGCCCTTTGGGTTGTGGTGCTGGAGAAGAGTCTTAAACATATGGACTGCCAAGAAAACAAATAGATCTGTCTTGGAGAGGGTGAAACCAAATTTCCCTTTGGAGGCTAGGATTTTCAAGCTCTGTCTCACATACTTTGGGCATGTGGCTAGGAGGGACCAATCCTTCGATGAGGGCATCATGCTCAGAAGGGTCAGGGCAGTGAGGCTTGGCTCAGGACAGGGAAGGTTTCTGTTGTACTTTGTGTTCCTGTGTATTGGAGGCAACTCAGTGTCACATAACGACATTGGCTTGTCTATCTCTTTGAAAAATGAATTTGATATCTATATTGGGATTGCATTAAAGAGGTAGATTTCTTTTGCTAGGATTGCCATTTTTACTCTACTGATTCTTCCTTCCATGAATAGGAACATTTTTCCATTTAGTTAGGTCTCATATTGATTCTTGCAGTGATGTTTTGTAGTTTTATTTATAAAGGTGTTTTTGTGTTTCTAGTTAGGTTTATTTCTAAGTCCTTTAGTTTATTGTTGGCTATTTTAAATGGTATTACTCTCTCAGTTTCTCTCTTTGTGTTTTCTTTGCTATTGTAGAGAACACCTTTGATTTTTATATATTGATCTTATATCGTGCCACTCGACTGAATTCGTCTACTAGGTCTAACAAGTTTTCTTGTTGTTTCCTAGGCGTTTTCTGTGTACATTATTATATCTTCTGCTTATAGTGAGAGTTTTACTCCCTCTTTGCTCATCTGGATGTCTCTTGTTTTCACCTCTTGTTGCCAGTAACACATTTTAAAAAAGGTGTTTCAGATTCTTTTTTAAAATTTTACTTTCAAATGTTAAATTCCCAATTTTATATTTTGCAGATCAAATGAGATAAATGCTTTGAAAATTTCTCATAAGACTGTTTTTTTTTAAGTGTCATTTTAGAATTTAGGTACAAATTTTATCGTTGCATTTGTAAAGTTAAGTACTGTCAAGGTAGAACCAACTCTACACTGACTCTCCAGCAGGTTTTCAGAGGCAGTAAATCACAAGGAAGGAGATTGCCCGATTTTCTCTCGTGGAGCAGCTGGTGGATTTAAACTGTGTACCATTATGTTGGCACCACAATTCGTTACCACTAGCCAACAGAGCTCTACTTTTGTGATAGAGCTCTATTATAATTTTTCACTTATAGGTGCTGGATTAATCGTAGTAATTTGATAGAAGATAGTGGAAAAATCTCTTTTGTGTGTGGTTAAGCAGATGTTTTTTTTAAGCAGATGTTCTTGATCATCATTTTAATATATTGCATTAAAATGCCTGTTATGCAACATGTAGTTTTGACAACTGAATTTTCTGGAGGACTTTAAAAATTGTGTTGTTGTTTATTTTCATTAATTTTTATTAATTCATTGTTGTAGTTATTCTCCTCCCTTCCTTTTTACCCCCTTCTCCAGTCCACTTTGAAGCGCATCTTTTATTCCAGATTGATGTCATACATACAATACTGAATCATATGTTCCTTTTGGTCTGTTTTTCCTCTTATCTGTTCCAATGCAGTATTCATTATCTATCCACTCTTTTCCTATTTTTACCCAAACTCCCCATGTCAGTCTTATTTTATAAGTGGTGTAATACAGTATTTGTCCCTTTGTGACTGAGATATTTCACTCAACCTAATGTCTATATGCAGAACAGATTATCTGGGAGGCTGAGCTCTGTGAGGAGGAATGTGGCATTAGAACTGAAGGAAAACTTATCAACAACTTATGTTATGCAGATGACAAAACCTTGCTTGCTGAAACTGAGGAAGAATTAAAGTGCTTGCTGCAAAAGATCAAAGACTAGCCTTTCAATATGGATTGAAGCTCAACATGAAGAAAACCAAAGATTTTCACCAATGGGCCAATTGGCAGTATGATAGATGGTGAAGAGATTGAGATTGTTAATAGCTTCAGCTTGCTTGCCTCCACAATCAACACTCTTGGGACCAACAGCCAGGAAATCAAAAGACAAATTTACACTGGAAAAGTCAGCTGTCAGGGACCTCTCCAGAATACTGAAGAGATGTCAATCGGGAGACTAAGGTGTGCCTGATCCAGGCCATGGTCTTTGCAGTTGCTTGCTATGCATCAGAAAGCTGGACAGTGACTAAGGTTGATAGAAGGAGAATTTATGCCTTTGAGCTGTGGTGCCAACGAAGAGTATTGAATAAACCATTGACTGCTAAGAGGACAAATAGGTTTGTTCTAGAGAGAGTGAAACTAGACTGCTCCCTGAAGGCAAGGATTCTGAAGCTTCATTTGAAATGCTTTGGGCATGTTGCAGGAAGTGACCAGTCCCTGGAGAGGGGTGGGTATCATGCTTGGGAGGGTGGAGGGACAGCGCAAGAGAGGAAGACTCTTTCGAAATGGATTGATTCTGTGACTGGGGTAATGGGAGTAGGTGTGTTAGAGACAATAAGGTTGGCACAGGATGGAGCAAGGTTCAGGGCTGTTGTACATAGGGTCAGTATTATTCACAAGCGTCGTCGACACATAACAACAATGTCTTCCAGATTGACTTTTATTGTGTAATGTTAGATGAATTAGTTGTTTTCAGTGCTGTACAATATTCCATTGTGTGACTGTCCCATAGCTTTTCTACCCATTTTTTTTAATGAGTGTATGGTATGTATTTGAAGTAAAAATGTGATTGTTAAACTGTACTGTGTTAAAGAATAAATAGAACATGTGAATGTTGTTTAGAACATAAAATTATGTAATGAATGGATTTCCTCTTCTAATGTTGTAGTGACTTTGTACAATTGTAGGTCAATTTGGGTTATTTTTTTCACTTGGATCCACAATCAACACCCTTGGTACCTCCTGAAGAGATGTAGTATCTTGGGAAAGTCTGCTGTCAGGGACCTCTCCAAAAGTTCCTCCCAAAGAGTATTATGTCAATTGAAAGAATTAAGTAGTGCCTCATCGTGGCCATGGTCTTTTTAGTCACTTACTGTGCATTTGAGTGCTGGTCAATGTTAAGGATGACAGAAGAAGAATTGATACCTTTGAGCTGTGATGTTGGAGAAGAATACTGAATATCCCATGAGCTGCCAAAAGAACAAACAGATATCTTGGGGAAAGTGCAGCCGGAATTCTTGTTAGGGGCATTTTGCGTTATATTGTTAGGAGGAAAACATGCTTGGAAATGTGTATGGTCAGTATAAGAGAGGAAGACCTTCACTAAGATGGATTGATTCAGTGACTACAGCATTGGGCTGAAGAATGATGACCAGAGAAGATGAGGATGGCACAGGAGTAGAAAGGGTTTACGTCTGTTACTCATAGGATGTCTCAGGGTAGAACTTGACTCCTTGGCACCTAGAAGTAACAACAATTTCATAGATCAATTTTATTGTTTCAATCCTACATAGTTATAAGTAGAGGTATGCTAAACTGGATAAAAATATTTACAGTGCTTTTTAAAAAAATACTTTCTTTGCTGTAGTAGTCTAAGTAAGATATACTCATGACTGTTTAGTAAACTTAAGAGAAATGCACAAAATGAATTAAAAGGAAAATGTTACATTGTAACTAAATAGAACTTCTGTTTGCCTTTAGGTGCTGAGTTATTTTCATCATCAAAAGCAAGTTCGACAGGGAGTAGAAGAGATGCTTTATAGATTGTATAAACCCATCCTTTGGAGAGGATTAAAGGTGCATATTTTAAAGACTGTAATTCAGTTGTGGGGATGAGCACTTTATGAAGTCTAAGGATAGCTGTTTTGTGGATTTCCTTCTTAAGAACATTTCTTGGATCTATTTGAACAGGATATCTGAATTAATTTAATGTTAATGATAGTTATTTTTGAAGCAACCATGTCAGTGAAGAGGCATATTCTTACTCATTGTTGTCAAATCAGTCCCAGTCAGGTTTCCAAGGGAGTAAATTGTGATTAAAGGTAACATTTTCTCCCATGGAGCAACGGGTAAATTCCAGTGGCTAAAGACCTGCAGCCTTTGGGTTAACAGCACAACTGCTCCACTAGAGCTCTCTTAAGGGGCATAGAGTTTGAAGAGACATAGTAGTAAAGCCAATACTATCTACATATGATCTAAAGAACTAGTCCAGACCGCAGCTGCTACTTCATAATCAGCCAACTTGGAGTTTGCATACCTCCTAGTTGTGTTGGTAACTGCAGAACAGGGTGACAAAAAGGGCCCTCCCTTACTGTGTTCAGATTTACACATGACAGTTTTTCAGGGAAAGTAATCCTAGGGTCAGTAATTAGAGATTTGACAGTGTGTGATTTTTGATGACACGACATAGAACTTTGAAGTATGAGAACTGCTTTCTTTCTTTTAATATTTACTGAAGTTGAACAGAAAACTTTTTCACAAGTTTGGCTAATTTTAAGTGTTGAATTATCTTTTGAATTCTGTCTATATTCAGACAAATATTATTTAGGACACTAGACTACAAACTTTAAATGTTACTTCTTTGGAATCTAAAATAATTTTATTATTATTATTTTAGGCCAGAAACTCTGAAGTTCGATCAAATGCTGCTCTCTTGTTTGTTGAAGCATTTCCTATTAGAGATCCAAACTTTAATACTATTGAAATGGATAATGAAATCCAGAAACAGTTTGAAGAACTATACGTATGTATTTCATATGGTTAAGATCTGTCAACTTTAGATTGGTCCAGGCTGAGAGATTTAACTACTTGTCAGCATTCTCTGACCGTCTCTACCTCTCTGGACTTTACTCATACTTTGCTCTGAATCCCTAATTGGAATGTTTTCTTATAACTTGAACACCTATCAAAGAACTATCCATTTTCTTGTTTGATTGTTTCTGTGATAATGTGTATCTGTGGTGTCCCTTTTCACTTTTTTCCTTGAGAGCTTTTATAAAAGAATTATTTGTCATTTTTCTCATTTTTGCATGTACAGTACAACATAGTGGCTAAAAACGTGTTTTGGGGTCTGTCTTATATCCTAGTTTTGAATTAATTTTCCTCACTTAATAACTTTGTAACTTTATCCAGGACTTAATGTTTCTTTTTATTGGTCTATCAAATGCTTTGACATTGTGTATGATGTTATTATTAAATGCTGTCAAGTATGACTCGTAGTGATCCTATGAACAAAAGACCTGAAACCTCTTCTATGACTATATTGGTTTCTTTATGTTCGTAGTTTCCGGAGGCATGTGGTTTAGGAAGTGGATGCCATTCCTTGCTTTCAAACCTGAATCATTCTGGGAACTCCACCAAACAGTGCTTACGATGGTTAGCCATTATGGTGTTTTGATACAGCCTGTTTTGATATAGTTGTTCAGCATCACAGAAACTCTAAATTACTTCAGTACAGCAAGTAGACTGTTGTACCACTTAAAAGAATGTTCATCCCAAAATCAGGTAACATTTGCGGCCCGAGGGCCCTACCACATTTTAAAATTAACGCATGCCCAAATGCTGGTGGACTATAAACCAGAGACCCGCATTCCATCTGGCAAGTCCAATTAGCTGACACGTACTTGTGGACGAAAATAAAGCCAGAAAATACCAAACTTTTTTTTTTAAAATTTTTTTAATTTTTATTTTATTCGTGTGTGTGTGTGTGTGTACACCATCAAATCGGATCTGACTGGTACAGGAGGAGATTGTCCCTCCTTTTCCCGGCAGAGCATCTGGTGGATTTGAACCATGCACCTCTGGGATTGCAGTGCAGTTTCTTGCCACTAGGCCACCAGAGCTCCCCTAATACCAAACGTTTTATACGTGACCCTCATCAAGACACAAGAAGCCATCTTCCAGCATCAAATTAACAGGAGCCTCCAGATAGAGTAGGGTAAGATAAATAGAAAAAGCTAATTATATTTTAATTTAAGCCTACAGATAATGGTGCATTCCATTTCTTTTTCAAGTGAGATGTAAAGATGTTTTTGTTTTATTGTTAAATCAGTTCATGGTGACTCCTGAGTGTAGAGGTTTTCCAAGCTTGTGACCTTTCTGATGTATATTTTCAGGCCTGTCTCTGCAACCCCCCCTGGATGGGTTCAAACTGCCAACCTTTCAGTTAGGAGTTAACATGTAACTACATCATCCAAGAATTTAGGATGTTTGTTACCCACTGTTGAGTTCATTCTAATTCACAGTAATATGGTTTGACACCTAGAACCTGCTCAGTTAGCTAAGCACAGCACACCCCATCACCAAGTGTGTGTGTGTGTGTGTGTCTTTGTGTCTGTGTGTGTCTGTGTCTATGTCTGTCTGTGTGTGTGTAAATATCCAAGAGCTGTTGTGGATCTTTTTCTTCTAAATGGTGAGTCTTTAATTTTTTATTGATATTTCCATGCTGATATTTGTAGGGTTCTCTAACATGACTTAATCAGTGAATATTATTCCAGTTTGTAGGTTACCAATACCAGTCTTGAAACTCACTCATTTGTTTGTTTTCTGATTTTGAAATGCTTCAAGAATACAGACAGAATAAAGTGTAATGAATATGTGCATAGCTACCAAATAAAATGCGTAATTACTAGCATTGTATTATATATGTATGCTTTATCTGCATATCAAAAAAAACCATTTCAGACTCATGGCTATCCAGTCAGAACTGACTCATAGCTGACCCTCCAGCAGGTTTCCAGCGCTTTAAATCACATGGAAGATGATTAACCATATTTCTTGGAATGGCAGGTGAATTCGAACTGCCAGAGAGCCTTGGCCTTTGACTTAATAGCTCATCTGCATATAGACTATGCCACCTGAGTTTCCTTCTGTACATACATTTATCTGTAATTATTTTTTATAATCTTGGCCAAGTTTGTTGGAAAATATTGCTGCACAAAATGAGGCTAGATTTTGATAGATTGTCGAAACTCTTACTCTTTTACCTTGATCCTTTAAATTTTCAATCAGTTTTTTATTTCTACTTGAGATGCCTAATACATACATTTGGAGCAGTGATGGAGTACATGCTGCCAGTTTGGTTATGATTCCCACTGTGCCCTATTACTATTAGATAAAAAATTTTCTTTGTTTTGGTCCTTAGAGAATTTATCTTTGTTGCTCCTAATGTGAATTTATATGAGCTGGAAATGATAAAGCACTTGACGTGTAGGTAGGGAGGTAGTGTGATGTAGTGAAAACAACCAAACCCACCACCATTCAGTCAGTTCTGACCAATCAGGTTTCCAAGTGTTTCTAGGAGCAGTCTGTTCATATCTTAAAAGTTTGTCTTACTAAGCAGCTAGTAGATTTACATTGCTCACCTTTCTTTTAGCCGCCCAGAATATTATATAGTAAATAGAAACATGCGTAAAAGTTTTGTTTTGAATTCCAGTCCTGCTACTTGAATAAGTGTGATCTTTGTTACACAGGTGAAGGACTAGGCAATGTGTAATGGGTATATGATGAGAAGAAGTGATAAAATGCATTGATTAATAGCAATTCTGATTTTTAAAAAAACTCTCACAATATATATGAATGATTATATAAAACAATGATTTTATGCAAACCAATTTAAAAAATATTTAATATACTCTCAAATGCTAAAATGGTAGTGCTTATTATTACCTATGTTGTTGTTATGGGCCATTGAGTCTCCTGTGACTCAAAGCAACCCTATATACAACAGCTTTGAAGCTTGCCTTGTCCTGAGGCAGTCTCACTGACTTTAACACATCTTACCCTCATTGCTCCAGTTACTGTATCAGTCCCTCTCATCCAGGGTCTTCCTCTCCTTTACTGTCCCTCCACCCTTCAAGCATGATGTCCATCTCCAAGGACCATTCCCATAGTATGTGCGATGGAGCTTCAAAATCCTTGCCTCTAAGGAGAAACTTGGTTTCACCTTTTCTAAGACAGACTTACTTGTTTTCTTGGCGTTTCATGGTATGTGAAAGACTCTTCTCCAGCACCACAACTTAAAGGCATTAATTCTTCTGGCATCCTTAGTCATTGTCCAGCTCTCTAATGCATAGCAAGTAATTGCGAAGACCATTATTAACTTTAGGGAAAAGAATCCAAGGCAACTCCATGAAGTCTCTTCTAATTCATGGAGACCCTGTATCAAGTTTGTGAGTCTGTAATCTTTATAGAAAGAAGCTTGTTCATCTTTCTCCTGCAGACTGATTGGTGGATTCAGACCTCTTGCTTATCAGTCCAATGAGTAATACATTCTGCCCATAGGACATTAAACTATACAGAGTGGTATAATAGTCTAATGTAATATTAGAGCTATATTAGTCTATCTTGTATATTATGTATAAGAAACTTAATTGAGTTCTGGAGAGATTAGCTTAAGACTAATTTACAGTTTTGTAGAGAAATGTTATAATTCTCTTGAATGTGCAGATCATATTTCTTATTTGCTTAATATCTTGGATATGTAGAGTGCTAACTAATGAATGATTTCTCAGTCTCTCTTCTACAATTAGATTTCTACCCCCTTAGCATCTTTATGTTTAATGAATTATAAATTAAAGATATCAAAGGGGAGGGAAAAATCCCCAAAATTGTTGGGATCAGTTAAATGTTTCCTCTTTGGAGAAGAAATACTAGATTCTGGAACATTTGTCTATAATTTAAAAGATAGTAGATTGTAGAAAACTTTAACATAATGATTGTTTTTAAAAGTTACATATATCTTAGTGAAGATAGGTTTATATATTCAAGTAGTAAAATTCAGTCAACAGATTCATAAAAATGAGACACCACTGTGCGCATTTTTAGAGACATTACATTTTTTAAATTACACAACAATTACCGTTTTGAGTCTGTGATGCAAATTTAATAGAAAAAGCCTCATGTGTAAACAACATCCTATTAAGACTGTGAATTACTTTTGAGAATAAAATAAACATATCATGGAGAAATGATTATAGCCAGTAAATATAAACTGAGTTTCAAGCGGTCTTATTTTGCTACAGTATATCCTGGAGTAATTGAGGAGGTATTTCTAAGTATTAGAATTCCAGAATGGTCTTTTATTTTCCCCTGCACTTACAGTTTGACCAAATGTAGGATTTTTTTCTTCAAAATAATTTCTTTTCAGGCTTATTAAAAAAGACAGTGTCATCTAGCATGATAGGTTTTTGAAACTTTTAGGATGTTTTTCTTTACTTTTTGAATTTTTCTCCCTCTACTTTCTATAACATAAATTCAAACAAAAAGTTTTAGTATTTATGTTAAAAAATATTTTTTTGTCTCCTTTCCAGTCCATGTTTTTGCACAAGTTTTCTTTATATTTCTCCCCATCCCTGGAAACTGATGTAATAATTAAAAGTGTGAATTGGCAAACTTTTGTATGAAGGGCTAGACTCTGTGTATGTGTATTTGTCTTTGCAGGCCATATGATTCTGTCCCATCTATTTATCTCTGCTGTTATATACAACAACACCCATTGATAATTCATAAGCAAGCAAACATGGCTATGTTCTAACAAAACTTTAAGGACACTAAAATTGGAATTTTGTGTAATTTCACATATCACAAAATTCTGCTTTTTAATTTTTCCCCTCAATTTTTTAGAAATGTTAAAATCATCCTTTATTGTGAATAAAAATAACAGTAGGTGATAGGCTAGGTAAGACTTATGATTTATAATTTCAGCAAAATATATATGATATAATTTCATAATTACAAATAGATTGTAGAAAACTTTAATATGATTGTTTTTAAACGTTGTATATATCTTAGTGAAGATAGGTTTATATATTCAAGTAGTAAAATGTAGTCAACAGGCTCATAAAAATGAGATACCACTGTCTTCACATTTTTAGAAACATGTTTTTTAAATTACACACAACAATTACAGTTTTGAGTCTATATATATCATATATGATATATATGACATTTGATATATTGATGATATTACTGGACAAACTTCTCAACATCTTTTGTCTCTTAATTTGATGTTAAAATGGACTTTAGTCTCTTTCTTGTGAGTTTACAAATGAGATTATATAAATAATTGTAGTAACATCTGTACTCCTTAACAGTTCTCTCATAGTTGTATCTTTTTTCTGTTTTTCATGTAGAAAATGAGACCTGTTTTAAAGGTAAATTGAGAATATCTATGACTGTCCGTAGATCTAGGGAACCAAAGATTCTGTTTGTAGAAACATTGTTAGAAGTGGTATCAGTTTAAGTGATTATTCGGTAAAAATATGATTGGGAACATACATACAGATGTGACATCTGAACTCTTTTGAGAATATGTACCTAAAGGTAATTATTGATAATACTCATGTATTTTTGTAATTTTAAAAGAACATCATTGAAAATAACTCATAGAAAATAAAACTTGTGAATTCTGAGGATAGGTCATGAAATTCTTAAGACTCATGCTACATTGTCTGGCTAATATGCTACACTTTAACCTTCCACTTTTCACTGTCAGTAATGTTACTTGAATTAAACACATTTCTATCAAGTTGGTTCCAACTCATATAATCATTGGGATTCCAAGGCTGTTGTTAATTGCCATCGGTCAAGCATGACTCATAGTGACCCCATGAACAAAAGGTCTGAAGCCTTTCTATTACTATCATCATTTATCAGAATTCATAGAGTTTCCAGAGGCATGTTGTTAAGGAAGTGGATGTGATGCCTGCTTCTAATCCAAGGCTGTAAATGATTCTAGGAATATGCCTTACACTTTGAAAAAATAATTTTTTTTACCTCTATTCTGATAACTGATCTTTTGTCAATTCTGTTTTTAAAAAGTTTTAAAATGTTTTAACATTTTAAAGTTGCTTCTTCTCAAGTCATTCATCTTTACTTTCTCATTCTGATTTTTAGTAAGAATTGATTTGTCTAGTTAGCATGTATTTTTTTGTAGCTGTATAGAGTTATATCTTCAACATGCTTCTTCCTTGATGAGTAAATGGAACTTTTCAGGGCAAGGAATATGAGCAGATTGAATCTGCATAGAGTATAAAGATGAGGGAAAGATCAGCTGGTCATTTCCCAATCTCCCATTAGGAAGTGATCCTTTAATTTTGGGTAGCATTGTTTTACTAACTTTGTTTTTTGGAGATTTTAATATTATCCCTAGTCTTTGTGCTTCTCTGTGTTCCCTACTAACTAAGGACTTGTTTCTGGCAGATTATTCTCTGTGCTTCTTACTATTCTAAGGCTTTATCCTGAGAGGCATGCTTATTCTTATTCTTCCAACTGTTTATTGTATACTGTTGAATTGTAACAACCTGTAACTGATTTTCCAGTGGGTTTTCAGAGACAGTAAATTGCATGGGAAAGATTGCCCATCCTTCTCTCTTGGAGCAGCTGGTGGGTTGAACCACCTACCTTTGGATTGGTAATATAGTTTCTTTACACTAAGCCACTAAAGCTCCCTCCTTGTCCAGCTAACAACCCTCTATCTGTAAGGAAGTTGTTTGTAGTCTTTTTATTAATCACCTGCAATCTTTGTTCCTTCCTTTGTAATTTTGACCCTAGGCTTGGCCTTTGAGTTCTCTTTATAACAAGTTCTGTCATCCAAACAACCTTCTTGTAAGAATGCTTTAGATTACTCATATTTCTGCCTTTCCCCCCACCATGAATCTGTTGCTTATTATTTTTTTTAAGAATAGAAATTCTTCAGGTTTTTGGTTTTTAGGATTGCTAAAGATATTTTATTTATAATTTTGTTCAGATTTTTTTAAAAAGAGAAGATTAATTCTTTTGTACTTTGACTTGAAGTCTTCTCCAATTATGAATAATTGTTTTAGAAATATTTTATGCTAGAAAATGTCAGCTTTGTAGAAATAGACTAATAAAACTCAATACCGAGTTTCAGTACTTTCTAATGCAAAGCAAATATGATTTCGTTCTCTGTTCTTAATTTGAAGCAAATCCCAGACAGAATTTTATTTCAACCGTGAATATTTCACTAGGTATGATAGATATGATGTTAGCTTACAGGTTGGCATTTTTAGTCATTATGTTAGTCCCACTGGTTTCTAGCCACTGTAACTGCAGACACATGGTCTTGCAAAAACATCAACAGCTGTGTGACTTTAATATATGAGAGAGTACTTTCCACACTGTAGAGAGTGAGACCCTCATGATGGTTGGTGGTGGAGAGATGGGAGATTGGGACACTGCTGTGAAGAATCTGTGGCAAGATGTATCCAGAGGAGCCCTGAGATAAAGGCCATTGTTAAAGTGTTGCTTGGTAGGATGATTGAACTGGTCACAGTAAAAAGGTTTTGTTTGCTGGATGATTGAAAGAAAAACTGACTTTGTAACTGCTCTGAGGCAAACCTTGCTGGATAATTAAGGAAACCAGAGGCTTTTTAAATTTGTGCTGCTGAACTTGAAACAGGGACGCTCACTAATTGAGGAATTGTATTTTGCTGTTAATGAGGCTTGGAATTGTTGAACTTCCTTGGTGAGATGTTCTTTGCCTTTCCTATTTCCCAACTTGTTTCCCTAGTAAACCCCATTCTCAGAACCACACTGTGAGTAAAGTCTGTGGATCAGCAGTGAATATCGGACGGAATGATTGGTAGAAAGGGATACATATAGGAGCATGTGAAGTGACATGTTTGATTGAACAGCTGTTTGTTACATTGGATATTATGATAAGGATAGTTCCCCCTTATGAAATGGATAGAAGTCAGACTTGGCCGCTGCCATCCCCACAGTGCATCAGCTCCTTTTACAATAGATTTGGAGATTTTTAAAGCATAATTAATTACACTGTTATTACACTCGAAGAAAAAAATGCAGTTCTTTAATACCATTAAATATTTCCAAGACTTGTTGTTGTTGTTTAATGCCGTCGAGTCGTAGACGTCTCATAGCGACCCTATGAACCAACAGCCTGAGCACTGTTCGTACATAGAGTTTCCGGAGGCAAGCCATTTTGGAAGTGGATGCCACTCCTGCTTCCAGGCTTGATTTAGTCGGAAAGCCTTTTACTTGGAAGTCGAATTGCCTTGATCATCTTGCCACCAATCCTCCTCCATCTTGTCTTAATGTACTGCCAGTGAGTTGTTGTCGTTGTTAGGTGCCACTGAGTCAGTCATGACTCTTAGGGACCCTATGACCAAGAGATCTGAACCTTGCCCCATCCTGAACTGTTAGTGTCATTTATTTTTTTTCCAAGTTAAAATTTTTCAATTTGCTTGTATAAGTATTTAAATAAGATTCACATTAGTGATTGATCATGTATTCTGCTGGACAAGGATGGGCAGTCTCTTTCCATTATTTATTGTTATTAATATTTGTACAATTTGAAATACCTTCATTACTAAGGTTATTAATTCCCAAATACTAATATACAAAGCAAACATTGATAAAAAGAGAACTGATTTAAGATTTTTAAAAACTTTCCACCTCATATTTGTAGGGCCTTTTAGAAGATCCTTATCCGCTGGTCCGTTCCACAGGAATTCTTGGTGTTTATAAAATAACTTCTAACTACTGGGAACTGATGCCTCCAATCATTCTTATTGATCTTTTAAAGAAAGTAACTGGGGAACTAGCTTTTGATACAAGCTCAGCTGATGTTCGTTGTTCTGTCTTTAAGGTAAGATTTTTTTTTTTTTAATTTTGTAAGCAGTCATTGTAGAATTGTCAGAAAATAAAGAAAAAATGATTTAAATTATCACCCATTATTTTACTATGTAATATAACAGCATTAACATTTTGTTGTATATCCAAAGTGAGAATTTTAAAAAGCAAAGAAAAGTGTTTTCTACAAAAAAAGTCTACTTAAATTAGTACTTACTTTTAGTGTTGAGGTAGACAAAGATCTGGCTGTCATTACAGTATCATTGCTGAATTTGTCCTGTTTTAGCTCTGGTGCAGTACCTTTGAGAAGCATGACATGTACTTAGGTTGCTGCAGTCTGTACTTAGTGCCTTTTAAAGTGGTGCAGACTGTGCCCTGGGGTTGTTGGACTCATAACTTTGATGCTTAGAGCACCGTGATCTAGTCCAGTAGTTCTCTTCCTTTGATGCCTATTAGAAGCACTTGAGAACTGAGTGAATATAAAAAGACACACACTCTTTAACATAGCAAACACATTTTTAAGAAAGGCTGTTCTTTGACTTTTCCCTGCAAAACACCTAAGCTTCCTTAGGTACCCTAAGTGGAATCTCTGTTGCAAGTTAGGCTCCTAGGAAGACAACTTGGCAGAAGGGTCCATATTTTTGAGCCCTACCTTGATCAGTCAATGGATACAATGCTACCTTTGTTTGAAAAAGGGACAGTTATTTTTTGGGGGGGAGGGGACAGTTATTTTGAGAGAGAGAGAAGGGTAGCATTTGTTCTCTTTTTCCTTCTTTCTTTAAAGTGATAATGCCATCTGCTAAATTGCTTAAGTGAGAAAACTGGATACTATTCTTACTTCCTCTTTTCTGCTTCACTCCTACAACCAAGTCCTGTCCATTTTCTTTCCCAAGAATTATTTGGTATTTACCATTTTTCTTTACCATACAATTCTGATCAAATAATTATCTCTCAAAGGGATTACTGCAGTAGCCTAATCATCTAATGCCTGAAAGGCACAGATGGGAAATATGTGAGAAGGGACAAGGAGATCCCTGGGTAGAAGAGGAGGAAGCAAAAGTCTTAAAGAGCAGAGAAATAGAAAATGAGGAGACTAGAGTGTCAGGAAGCCAAGGGAGGAATGTTTCAAAAAGGAATGAATAAAGTCAAACTAAAAATGGTGTATTGAAGTTAGCAAGGTGAACTTTGTAGATTCCTTTTGTCAGAGGGGTGAGAGCAGGTCTAGTTTGAAATAGGTGAATCTTCAGAAGGACAGCAGTATAGACAGTAGGGTAGGCAGATGAACCAAATAAGACCTTCCTTTGATAAAAATTTCAGATAGAATTAGTATGTACTTTAGGAAAATTTGTTTTGTACAATAAAATGAACCAATATTTTTTGCGTGAATTTTCTGTCTTTTTAAATAACACATAAAAGTATCCTTTCCAATAATTGGCAAGAGAGATTAATCGAGGTAAAGGAGTGCTCTTATGGTTGTATGCTATTGAGTTGGAACTGATCCATAGCTGACCCTCTAGTGGATTTCCAGAGGCAGGAAATCACATGGGAGGAAATTGCACATTTTTCTTATTCAGAGCAGCTGGTGGATTCAGTTGTTTGCATTTGGAATTGCAGTGCATCTTCTTAACCACTAGGCTACCAAGAGTCCCAGAGGAGTGCTGAACTTAATATTTTGTGACCTGAGTTCAAGCTCTGGCTGCGTATGAACCTCTTTTTCTGTAAAGGAACATTGATTTGAAATACTATATGAGAGTAGTCACATCTGAGTATATGAATCTAATGGTAGTGGGTGGCTGCATAACCTCTCGCTTTTACTCTGTGCACCTAGCACATTTTAGCCTGCCTAATTAATAGGGCATTTAGGCGATTAGTAAATACACATAATGTGGGAGGCTCTGAAAACAAAACAACAAATGCTTGAACATCAGCGTTAGATGCAGCTGGATTTGAAGACCATTCTAGCAACACTTATTCGTTGCTGGATGTTTCTTTGAACTGTTAAAAACAAAATTTAGTGAAGAGAAAGCATGGAAAAAATTTTATAATGCCTTTAACTTTTTTTAGACAAAGGATGACTTGCTTATCAGTCATTGAAACTATATCAGTTTATGAAAATATTTCTCTTATGGGAACTGTTTGTAAAGTGTTTTTGATAGATTTGTTTGTTTATCTTATTAATAATTCTAATAATATGGACCTGAATCTTTTCTTAACCAATGTTTTCTTGCCTGAACTTTCCATTGATGTGTTATAGTTTTGAACTCTTTTATCTTTTCCTTTTGTTGTAGTGCCTGCCAATCCTTTTGGATAATAAGCTAAGTCACCCATTATTAGAACAGCTTTTGCCCACACTAAAATACAGTCTCCATGACAATTCTGAGAAAGTGAGAGTGGCCTTTGTTGATATGCTGCTGAAAGTTAAAGCTGTGAGAGCTGCTAAGGTAGGAAAAATAGGGCATTTTTATTTAAACATGAAATAAGTAAATTGTTCTCCTCAAACAGACACACAGTTCCAATTATAAGATATTTTCTAATCACATTTTCAGCAAATCAGTAATTAGTGTATTGACTCAAATCATGTCATAAACTCGTTTGTTTTGTACTTTTCATTAAAAGTTTCAGAAATTCTATTTCTGTGTTTGTGTAACATACTAATGTGCACAACTTCTTCCTTAAATTATGTTTTTCTTGCATGTTTTTGAGAGTTTTTACTGAAATGGTTGATGAAATTACTTGGAGTGTGGATTAGAAACTTTTCTTCCTTCCTACATTTTAAAAAATAATAAAGCAAGTACTTGCTGCATGATAAATATACATCTTGGCATTATTTCAGCTATTGTGGTATAGTGAGACTATTCCAGAACTTTTAACTCTTAATTCTATTCAGCTTTTGTCTAAAAAGAGTAATTATAATGTTCTTAAAGTTTTATGTTTAATAAAAGTAAACTTTCTTCCTCTTCAGAATTGTTGTTGTTGTTGTTATGTGCCGTCGAGTTGTTTGCGACTCATAGTGACCCTATGCACAACAGCCCTAAACCCTCCTCTATCCTGCGCCAACCGCACTGCCTCCGACACGCCCATCCCAATTACCCCAGTCACTGAATTAATCCATCTCATAGAGGGTCTTCCCCTCCTGCGCTGTCCCTCCACCCTCCCAAGCATGATGTCCCTCTCCAAGGACCTGTCCTTCCTGGCAACATGTCCAAAGTATGTCAGATGAAGCCCCAGAATCCTTGCCTCCAAGGAGTAGCTTGGTTTAATCCTGTCCAAGATGAATCTGTTTGTTTTCCTGGCAGTCCATGGTACATTCAGTACTCTTCTCCAGCACCACAGCTCAAAAGCATCCACTCTCCTTCTGTCCTCCCTAGTCATTGTCCAGCTCTCTGATGCATAACAAGCGATTGCAAAGACCATGGCCTGTATCAGGCACACCTTAGTCTCCAGAGAGACACCATTACTCTTCAATAACCTGGAGAGGTCCCTAACAGAGACTTTCCCATCACGATACGCTTTTTGATTTCCTGACTGCTGGTGCCAAGAGTGTTGACTGTTTTAAAAAATGTTTTGTCTTGGAAAACCATTTGGAAGCATTCTGCATAGTTCTTCAGTAAAGGACTAGTCGCATTTTTTTTTTAAGTTTACCATAGAGCTATAAAAAATGAGAAGTTTTTTATAGTTTTATGGAAGAATCTCTAAGATGTTTAACAGCAAACAGTAGAAGTGTGTATAGTATGCTGTCAGCTATAGAAATTTATAAAAATGTAAACATAATTTTTCATAGAGATATGTAAAATATCCCTTGAAGAAAGAAATTTGTAATGTTAATTGTATTGAATGTCTTGTGACAATAATGATTGGGAAATTTTATTATGTTATATGCTTTTGAACTGAAATTTCCTTATGTATTACAGAAACATTCAAAGAATACGTGCCCTGTGTTGTTGTTGTTGTTGTTATGTGCTGTCGAGTCGTTTGAGACTCATAGCGACCCTATGTACAACAGCCCTAAACTCTGGTCTGAAAAAAAAAAAAAAACAAAAAAAAACCCTCTGGTCTGTCCTGTGCCAATTGCGCTGTCTCTGACATTCCCATCCCAATTACCCCAGTTAGTGCATCAATCCACCTCCTAGAGGGCCTTCCCCTCCTGTGCTGTCCCTCCACCCTCTCAAGCATGATGTCCCTCTCCAAGGACCAGTCCCTTCTTACAACATGTCCAAAGTATGTTAGACAGAGCCTCAGAATCCTTGCCTCCAAGGAGCCGCCCAATTTAACTCTTTCTATGATGAACCTATTTGTTTTCCTAGCAGTCCATGGTACTCTCAATAATACTCCAACATCACAGCTCAAAGGCATCAATTCTCCTTCTATCCTCCTTAGTCATTGTCCAACTCTCTGATGCATAACAAGTGATAGCCTGTATCAGATGCACCTCAGTCTCCAGAGAGACACCATTGCTCTTCTTTGGAGAGGTCCCTAACAGCAGACTTACCCATGGTAGTACGTGCCAAGAGTGTTGACCGTGGAGCCAAGCAAACTAAAGCGGTGAACTGTCTCAGTCTCTTCACCATCCATCCTGATGCTGCCAGTTGGTCCAGTGGTGAGAATCTTTGTCTTCTTGACATTGAGCCTCGATCCATATTGAAGCCTGCAGTCCTTGACCTTCTGCAGCAAGTGCTTCAGGTCCTCCTCAGTTTCAGCAAGCTGGGTTGTGTCATCTGCATAATGCAGATTGTTGATAGATCTTCCACCAATCTTGACCCAGACTACTTCAGTCTTCTCAAAGAAACTATGAAGGAGGAAATTTCACAGATAAGAAAGCCTGAGAAATGAAGTGGGCAAGACAGAATTGGAACTCAGAGCTCTTTGATTTAAAAGATCACACAATTTCCCCTCTCCTTTGTTCTCTGTTCATGTTATACTCTGAAAAGAATGCACTATTGGTGGGATTTTTGCCTGTACTAATTACCAGCTGATACTCATAGGTAAGACCTACCCCACTGGGAACACAGTGCCTTCCTCCATCAAATAAAGGGGTTAGAGATGGTTTTTAGCTTTAATTCATTTAATCGAGTGGGAGGCACTCAGTGAACAGAGGTTATCCAAATTGTTCTACAATTTACTATCTCAAAAGACAAAATACTGAATCTTTTCATGTCTCTATAACAAACCCATGGCTCTGGCACTTCCAGAAGTTATACTATCACACCCTGCAGACCCCACCGCTTTCATTTTTGAGGATGCATGAGACACCAGTTCCATGAAGGAATTTTCACACCAGGGTGGGAGGGCGGAGGGTAACTGTGAAAATTAGGAAGCAAAATCACTTTGTCATCTCTTAAACATGCATGGGCTCCTATTGCTGTGTGCTTCTGCTCCCACGTTGGGTTGTGGGCCTATTATTAACCACTTTTGCAAAGGGAACATGAGCTTTATCCCAGGAACACACTGTGGGGGAAGAGATTTCCTAATACAGTGCAATCAACAAGTTTGTTGTGGTATTTTTTTTAATTTCACCTCTCTGAAGTATAACGTTGTGAAGAAATAATTTTTGGCTCCCCAGAATGAAAGGGAGAGTTCCTACAGAATGAAGTCCAAGATGGACTCAGAAAAGCATTATCCCTAGACCCCCAACTCTCTCCTTTCCAGCTTGTCTTCAACTTTTCTGTCCCACATAACAGTCCAACCAGACCACTAGTATTTATACCTGAAATGTTCCCCCTCCAATGCCTTCCTTTCTCTTATCTTTTCCATCATGTTTCTATTCAGTTCTCAAGGTTTAACAGCCTACTTCTCTTCCAATCCAGACTGCACATCCCAGACAAAACCATCTCTTCCTTCCCTGAAGTCTTGTATCTCTTGGCTGACTTGTGTTTTGTGGCACTTACTGCATGGTACGGAGTCCCTGGTGGGTATACACAGTTGACAACGTTCAGTTGCTAACCAAAAGGCTGGTGGCTGGAGTCCATCTAGAAATACCTCAGAAGAAAACCCTGGCCATCTGATTCCAAAATAGCAACCACTGAGAGCCTGAGGGAGCACTGCTCCACCCTGAGTCAGGGTGCCATGAGTCACAGGAGACTTGAAGGCAATTGGCTTGCATGCTATAACTGTCTGTCAACTTTTTATACATCTCTCATTTTACTTCTAGTTTGCTTTCTACTAGATTCAGGCTGCTGTTATTGTGTTACTGAGTTGGAACTGACCCAGTGGGTTTTCTGAGGCAGTAAGTTACATGGGAGGAGACTACCCATCTTTCTCCTGCAGAGCAGCTGGTGTATTCAAACTTCATGCCTTTGAGATTGCAGTACAGCTTCTCAGCAGTAGTCCACCAGAGCTTCCTAGAGTCAGGTTGTTGTTGTTATGTGCCGTCTAGTTGCTTGCGAGTCATAGTGATCCTATGTACAACAGCCCTAAACTCTGCTCTGTCCTGTGCCAATCACACTGTCTCTGACACACCCATCCTGATTACCCTAGTTACTGAATCAATCTGCCTCATAGAAGGCCTTTCACTCCTGCACTGTCCCTTCACCCTCCCAAGCGTGATGTCCTTCTCCAAGGACCGGTCTCTCCTTACAACATAACCACAGTATGTCAGACGAAATCTCAGAATCCTTGCCTCCAGTGACCAGCCTGGTTTCACACTCTCCAGGATGAACCTATTTGTTTTCTTAGCAGTTCATGGTACCCTTTATAGTCTTCTCCAGCACCACAGCTCAAAGGCATCAATTCTCCTTCTAGTCATTGTCCAACTCTCTGATGCATAACAAGTGATTGCAAAGACCATGGACTGTATCAGATGCACCTTAGTCTCCAGAGAGACACTACTGCTCTTCAGTACTTTAACTGACTGTGATCAATTAGTTGTGGCCTCCATTGCACTCGGACCAGCCATCTTCAGTACTTTAGAGAGGTTCCTAACAGCAAACTTTCACATCACAATACGTCTTTTAATTTCCTGGCTGCTGGTGCCAAGAGTGTTGACTGTGGAGCCAAGCAGACTAAAGCTGTGAACAATCTCAATCCCTTCACCATCCATCCTGATGCTGCCAATTGGTCCAGTGGTGAGAATCTTTGCCTTTTGATATTGAGCCTCTATCCATATTGAAGGCTGCAGACCTTGACCCTCTGCAGCAAGCATTTCAGGTCCTACTCAGTTTCAGCAAACAGGGTTGTGTCATCTGCATAACGTAGATTGTTGATAGATCTTCCACCAATTCTGATGCCGCATTCCTCCTTATAGGGCCCAGCCTCCTCCCAGATAATCTGTTCTCCATACAGGTTGAAAAGGTATGGAAACAGGATATATCCCTGGTGTACACGCTTCCCAATTTTGAACCATGCAATGTTTCCTTGCTCTGTTCTGATAACTGTCTCTTGGTCCAAGTATAGGTTTCTCATTAGCATGATCAAGTGTTCTGGGATTCCCATTCTTCTCAGAGTC